ACCTGCGATGCTCAGGGAACCAAAACAAAATCTCATGTTCTAAAGAGGGAGTTGGTGGTGCATAGTCACAAAAGACTCTCATATTATCAGTATGTTCCTAAGCAGTAAAATAGAACATTCAGACCTCCTCCAAAGGTATTTATTGCATATAGCATTTATTTTATTCCTAATTGAAAAGTTTCCCATGAGTATTAACAGCTAGCACATTCAGAAATGCGTTTATCACATTACTCCACCACACCCTGGAACACAGACAACAGAAGCTCATTTAACAAGAAAGGGTCATAACATTCTTAAGAGGTAGATGAAGAGTCTTGTACTTACATAGTTTTATATTAAAAGGGCAAAGGAGAAGAGTCACATTTGTGAAGAATATTAATAGTCAATTTAAGCCAGTTACATCATCTATGAATTACAACCTATGTTTTTGCATGACGACTGCAGCTTCATTTTGTTAAACACTGCACATTTCCCATATCACACATATTAAAGCTTACGGATACTAAGAGACAATGTCTTAACCCTTCTATCTAACCTTCAACTGGTAAAGCACCCTACTACTTGGGCTCTTTTTAACAAAAAGGCTTTGTTCAGATGACTGAATAAGAAACACTGCAGGGCCACTGGGAAAGTAAGCATCTGTCCTCCACAAATATTTTTGGTAATTAACCACCTGGAATTCCGTGTCAAATACAAACTAACAGCTGAGCAAGCTAGAGTAAGGAGCATGGTAAGATAAGGACTTGACTTTCTGAAATCACTCCAGTAGCTTCTCCTCAGATTATTTTCAATACTTAAAAAAAACAATCCATCCCAGCAGTATGTTTAAATCGGAGTAATCTGGGCAGTCCAAATTGCAAAACTGAAAAACAAACTAGTTGAGCAAAGAATGGCTTTATAATCACTGATCTCTGTCATGCTTGAAGGGAATGATGAACAACTGTAATGCCCTTTTTCCGAGTGAGCACAATATAGGGAACAAGATGTGGTAAAGGAAACAAAGCAGTTCAGCTTACAATTTTGAAGGCAGAAAAGCTGCAAAATCTGTCTTTCATAATATGAATATTTAAATATTTCTTCTATTTCAGAGTGCTACTCTAACTAAAATCAGGTATCCTTAAGAAGTATAATTAAAGCACTTACTCGAAGCATCTCCAACAACCAGTCGTTTAAACAAATCCTCTAGAGAATGACCTGCATCCACAAGGATTGAATAAGTATTTTCATTGAAAGCTTTGCAAGACTTCTGTGGTTACAAAAAGCACAAAAGCTATTATCACTCTCCCTTCCGTTCCTCATGACACTTTTCTAAGGGAGACTGGAATGACGTGAAAATTAAAGTTATCTCCAAAGACAACAGCTTTTGATAAGAGACACATTTAAGCCATCTTTCTACACAATAAATACTGTATAAATCCATTGGATACACAGAAAAAAATTTGACACTGGAAGAAATACACATTTCACTAACAAATGTATTTCTTTGGGACAGATTTAGTTTAGAAAGTGCCCATTCACAATGTAGTTCCGTTATTTTGTTAACTACAGACATTTCAGTAGATGACATCAGCAAAGCTGACATATGAGGAGGCACCAATGCCACCCCCTCCTCCCTTGCACACACTGAGGTCATTTCATAAAAGACTCCATTACCATCAACATGTAATCTAATCTTGAAGTATGACAAATTAACTGTTGAAAGCTTTTAAGCTGTCACTAGAGCATTTAAGTGTATGATACAAACTTGCTGAAACATGCTAACAAATACAGGCTATATACTAATCCTGTGCAATTCAGAATGTAACTGTTTCTAACTACAAAGTTCCTCACAGTAAGGAATATTACTGGTCACTTGTTCACTGGAAATAAAGGAAAAAAAATATGCTGAACTGCATTGTTATGAACAGGGTTACATGTTCATATCATAACATGTTCATAACTATTCCAGCTAGTTCTAAGCCTTTTGGAACCAAAAATTTCTACATTTTAACATCCCAGAACCTCAAAGACTTCAAATTTGCTTCAGCGCTAAATCCTTCTACATCCCTCTCCATTACCTTCCAACTGACCATGGCTCTGCCAAACTACACAGAACGTCAAGAACATTCAAGCAATCTAGAGTTTACTCACACCAGTTTTTAATGACACTTTCTCCAAAATATCTTTGCCACTTCTGAACGCTTATCCTGTTGTAGCAATCAATTTACCAAATGTCACATCCACACACAGAGAGGCCACTGGCCCACACATCTGTATTTCAGTTGTACACAGTAATAACAAGAGATAACTAATGACTTATTACCACATATATACATAAACAAACTAATGAGACCTCCAAATCAAAGGTAAATTAGTGACGCGGGAAATCATCTTTTCTTGACAGGGCTCAAACTGTATTCTAACAACAGGAGTTTTACTTTTAGAAAGAACTGC